AACCCCCTCAGCCCTAAACGCCTAAACCCTACAAGCCCTGTAAGCCCTATAAACCCTATAAACCCTACGTGCTCTAAGCCCTAAACCCTAAACCCTAAACCCTAAACCCCTAAACCCTAAACCCTGATTGAACCCAGGAGGCGACCTAAGCCCAAGGGTCCGCAGCTTTCCGGATCTCTCGCGGATCCGGGGGCCCAGCAGGCAGCAGCCATGGCTCCAAGTTGGATTCAGGGCTCTGGGGTTTAGGGTTTAGGGTTTAGGGTTTAGGGCTCAGGGTGATTTCTAAGAGGCTTCACTTTCAGTTTTGGGGCTTATAATATAGGGTGTTCAGGGGGTTTAGGGGTTGAGGTTTAGGGTTTAGGGGTTTGGGGGGTTTGGGCTTAGAGCTGTCAGAGCTGGCTTGGGGCTCTACTTTGTTTGGGGTTAGGGGCCTAAACCCTAAAACCCTAAACCCTAAACCCTAAACCCTAAAACCCTAAAACCCTAAAGCCCTAAACCCTAAACCCTTAACCCTAAACAGAGCTCAGAGCTAGAAGTGTGTAGTCTTCGGCTACGTCGGCTTTTGGATTTTGGGCCCGAAGCTCCGGACAGCAGCAGAAAAAGGCTCAGGGTGAAACAGTCCGTCGAAAACGAACAAGCCGTTTGAACCCCTCAGAAAGCCCCTCAGAACCCTGAACAAAAAACCTAAACGCCCTTCAGAGCCCTGATTTAGACTCCGAAACCCTAAACCCTAAACTCCCCTAAACCCTAAACCCTCCTGCCCCTAAACCCTAAACCCTAAACCCTCCTACCCCTAAAGCCTAAACTCTGAGCCTTAAACGCTTTGGCTTTAGGGCTTAGGGTTCTTCTCCCTAAACCCTAAACCCTAAACCCTAAACCACCTAAATCGCTGACAGATCTGGGGATCCCCGGCCCAATCGAAGGCGTCGACGAACCAGGCAGGAAGCCAGCCCTGGATAGACCTCAAGTTTGGGGTTTAGGGCGTAGGGTTTGGGGTTTAGGGTTTGGGGTTTAGGGTTTGGGGTTTAGGGTTTAGGAAGTAGGATTTAGGGTCTCAAGTTTGGGGTTAGTTTAGGGCGTAGGGGCAAGCTGAACAACTGTGCAAACGGCGAGCTGCAGAATTGACCCTATCAGCAACTACCCATGAACTTTCCAGTCGAGCTTGCACTCCGAGTCAACATCAACCACGACGTAAACACCTAGCGCCACGAACCTCCAGACGGTCGATACGTCGAGGTTCAGCGGTACTTATAAGGGGGTTAGAAAACTCGGGTAGCTGTAACATTTATCACTCATAAATTAAGAGACTCATACTTATAGCTAAACCCTAAACCCTAAACCCTAAACCCAAAGCCCTAAACCCTAAACCGTAAACCCTAAACCCTAAACCCATCAAGCTCCAAGTACCCCTTTTTTTGCGGATCGAAACCTTGGTCGGGCGAGCCAGGAGCTGCTCTTTGCTCAAGACCTCTCTCTTTCAGAATTGGGTGTACTTGGAGGCCCAGGGCACTTAGTAAGTCGGTTATAAGTAGGGATATAATTGGGGTAACTCCAGTTAGGGTACTTATAACTCTACTTATAACCAACTTACTAAGTCCCCTGGGCCTCCAAGTAGGGTCTAAAGGCTTTAGGGTCTTGGGATTTAGGAACTCTAAACCCTAAACCCTTAGAGGTTTAGGGGTCAGGGTTGAGGGGTTTCCGGATTTAGGGTTTAGGGGCGAAGCCCTAACTCTAAGCTAACCTTATTGCTACCAATCTGCTACTGCTTCTCCTACTACTCCTCCTGCTGCTGCTACTACCACCACCACCACCACCACCACCACGACGAAAACCCGATTAGACCCGATCCTAAAACCGGCAGAAAAGGCCGTCAGTCAAGGAAGGAATGCTCAGAATCTTCTGGCGCCACCGCATGGGTCGACCAGCCGATAGCCTCTTAGAGTCTAGGGTTTAGAGGTTTAGGGGTTTAGGGGTTTAGGGTTTAAGGGTTTGGGGGGGTTTAGGGGTTTAGGGTTTAGGGGTTTAGGGTTTAGGGTTTACGTGTTTTGGGGGGGGGGGGGTTTAGGGGGTTTAGGGTTTTGGGGTTTAGGCTTAGGGTTTAGGGCTTTTGGTGGAGGACCCTAAGGACTTGTTTGAGATTTCGTTTTGTCGAAGTAGGCACATGGATTTAAGGCGGAAGGACCCTCATGTAACCTTGAAAACTTGAAAAGGCAGAAGACCCTATAGAAACCCCTTGCAAAACCCTGCACAACCAGAGTAAAACATATCCTATGAACCATCAATACAATAACCATTGACCATCATTGTCACAATATCATACAGCCGCTTCCGAAACCTATCCAAAATTGCTACAGAAACCCCCAACTTATAAAACCCTGCAGGGAGAATTTTGAACAAACGCACCTTCTCGCGTGAGATGCCCGGCATGAACGGCCGCAGCGGCGAGACAGCCTCGGTTTTACAAAGAGCACTGCTTGGAGGCTCATGGGTAGTTATAGTTGGAGTTACAAGTAAGGCAACTGTACTTGTAACCCATATATATAGGTAACTAACCCCACTTATAACTACCCATGAACCTCCAAGTAGGGTTTTCGGGCCTGTGTGACACACAGCGTAGGGCACATTCTAGCCACACATTAGACTTGGGCTCCTTCAAGCCCTCAGTATACCACTGGGTAATAACATACTCCCGGTGCATCATTTTGCTGTTGTGGCGGCAACGCATCAGCAGTAGCCGCGTCATCGGTGGTCAGCCCATTTCTCGTAGCAGGCATCCTCGCCGTACTCTAGCCAGCGGACTGTGCCGCCTCCGAGGCCTCCGAGGGCGTGCCAAGCGTCGGAATTCCTCGGGTCCAGGTCGAGGCAGCGCTCGAAGCAACTTTTTTCGTCCAGGAAGATGTCCGGGAAGGAGTTAATATCATTGCCGTAATCGTTGACCACGCCGTTTACGACGGCGCCGCCATGCGAGCATGTACCAAGCGTCGGCGTCCTCCGGATTGACCTCGACGCGCCGGATGAACTCAGCGGTCAAGTCATTAGCCAGTTCGCTGCTCTCTCCCTCTCCTTTAGGCTCGCCATAGCCATAGAAGTCGAACTTTCCCTTACCATTGTTCTTTCCTTTGCCTCTTTGCTGCTCTTTCCCTTTCCTTTAGACTTGCCATGGCCATAGAAGTCGAACTTTCCCTTACCCTTGCTCTTTCCTTTGCCTTTGATAGGCAACTGTGAGAACTCGTCATCGCCATAGAGGTCGAATCTTCCCTTTCCCTTGCTCTTTCCTTTGCCTTTGATGGGCAACTGTGAGAACCCGTCATCGCCATAGAAGTCGAACTTTCCCTTGCCCCTGCTTTTTCCTTTGCTTTTGATGGGCAACTGTGAGAACTCGTCATCGCCATAGAGGTCGAATCTTCCCTTTCCCTTGCTCTTTTCTTTGCCTTTGATGGGCAGCTGTGAGAACCCGTCATCGCCATAGAAGTCGAACTTTCCCTTACCCTTGCACTTTCCTTTGCCGCTGCTGCTCTTTCCTTGTGCCTCGTGAACCCAGTCCCAGCTTGGCTCAGGCGGGAAGCCTCTTTGGCCCCAACCTTGCTCTGGCCATGCATTCGACGACCAATCTCCTTGCCAAGACGGCGGGAAGCCTCCTTGGCCCCAACCTTGTTCTGGCCATGCATTCGACCACCAATCATCTTGCCAAGACTGGCCACGGCGTCCTTGGCAAGACTGGTCATCCCACTCACTGGACCAACCTGGAGACTGATTCGCCGCATGCGACGTTCGCTTCGACATGACCAGAACAAGAGCCGCGCCAGTTACAGTTGGGAGCGAGCTTGTGAGTGGTGCTTTTGAGTGTTGCGGCTGAAACATTAGCTTCGTGAGAGGTGCAATCAGTATCCCCAAAACGAATATGTACTGACTTCATGGATTGTATGGCAGCAGTTGCAGGAGAAGATCTGTTGTCTCATAGGGACATCCCCGGAGGTCAGTGACCTTTGCCCCCCCAGCTGCCTTTGTAGTGGGTATACCTGGATTATGTCGTAAGGAGCATACAGGCCTGTAGAGACAGTAAGCCCACCACAGGTAACAGCGCTCCTGGGGCAGCATCCTTGACTTACCCATTTCATAACGCGAAGGATCAGGGTTGATTTGAGGCTAAGTCTCCTAACTGTAAGCTACAGTAAAGGCTAGACAGAGAATCTACGTTCCCTACAAAATCTTTCATGGGTGTTACGCTTGAAGAAGGGGGTAGGAATTGCGAGTTTTGGGTGACGTGGGTTTGGGTTCTATGCGAGGGTTTTCTAAAATAGCTTTCAATCATTCTCTATGGTGATGTATGGGGTTTCGGGCTTAGCGTATACCAAGAGAGCCATGGGCATCGGGGAAAACAAAGCCCCGCTCCTCAGGCCTTTTCCGATTAATATGCTAGGTGCCTCGAGTTTTGGTGTCCAGAATGAAGTTAGTCTTTTGACTTCCCAGTTAAGGTTATTGAATCACACGCCAAAACCCTAATCAAGGTCTCAGGCTAAATCCTAAGACCCAGAAGCCACATGTTTCTATACTTGGGCAACTTGGACACCCAGGACAAGAAAGGATTTTCCTTGACGAGTCGTTGCAGAGACTTCAAAGTTGTTCACAGATAAAGCTTGCAAGCCAGGATCCACTTCAACAGCTCGAAGTCTGTATGGGCTCAGCGTTGAAGGATTTTGAGGATTTAGGGTCTTGGGTTTCTGGAGGTTTAGGGTAAAGGCTTGGGGATAAGATTCCCCTCCCTCCCCACCGAATGCAGAAACTTGTGCTTGGATCAGTGGCCGGCAGCATGGTGTCCTGCGATACGAGCGCAGCATAATCTTCATCATCTCCTGTGGCTGGGGAAAATATGGGGGCTGCTGGCTCTGAAGTACCTGACGGTTCTTGGGTATCAGGTTTAGGGTTTAGGGTTTAGGATTTAGGTTTAGGGTTTAGGGCCAACCGCAACTGAGACATAAGGCAATAAGAACTGGGACGAGGCTGGTCTCAGAATGCCTGGCCCCAAAACCCAAGCCAGTTCACGAACCGAGAACCCCGTAAACCTCAAAACCCAAAAACCCTAAACCCTAAACTCCTAAACCCCTAAACCCTAAACCCTAAACCCTAAACCCCCAGACCCAAAAATCCTTGACACATCCCAACGACCCGAAAGAGTTCTGGCTCTCGGCACAAGACCAACGAGCCCCAAAACACCGCGAAAACCTGAAACCCTGGCCTGAAACTCTTGTTTAGGGTTTAGGGTTTAGGGTTTAGGGGTTTAGGGTTTAGGGGTTTAAGGTTTAGGGTTTAGGGTTTAGGGGTTTAGGGTTTAGGGTTTAGGAGTGTAGGGTTGAGGGGTTTAGGCGTCTACATCCGACATCGCAGTTCGTCAGGGTCTTACTTACAGAGGATCTATGAGGTTTCACAGTGTTTGATACGGTGTTGTTTCTATAGCAGCCTAAAGCCCTACACCCTAAACCCTACCCCAAGGGTCCAAGTACCTAATAATCACATACTCTCCCAAATAGTAACCTGCATAACTACTATCCGAAAAAAGAGCACCTGATTATTGGGTCCTTTGGACCCTTGGGGTAACCTCCCTAAATCCGAAATCGCTGCGGGAGGCCTTGAAAAAGGACGATTTACGGCTTTAGGGTTTTGAGGTTAAGGGTTTACCTGAACCTCAAAACTACCTTGTTAGGGTTCTTTTATTATTATCTACTTATATATATATATATGTGTCCAAGTAGTCCTTATGAAGGGACTTCCGGTCGGTTTTTAAAGGTACTAAAAAACCCAGGAATTAGGCCTACTTGGACACCTAGGGCATGTTTATGTGCTGCAGATAGCCTAAACCCTAAACCCTTAACCCTAAAAACCTAAACCCTAGACCCTAAAACCTAAACCCCTAAACCCCAAACCCTGAACCCTAAAAGGGCTCCGGGCAACCTACAGGGCCAATGGGAGTGCACTACCCAGGCTGTCAGTCAAGAGCTTAGGGCTTAGGGTTTAGGGTTTAGGGCTTAATGTAGGGGCCTAAATGATTACCTGTACTTGGAGGCTCCTTATTCTCAATTGTAGTATCACGGGCCCGCCTTAATCATTAGAACAGGGTTTTGGGCCTTAGGGTTGTGAGCTTAGGGGGATATTGTTGTACGTATAGCTATAAGTAAGAGAATTTTCAATGGAGAAACTTTGCTTTTTTCCAAAGATTCCGACCGAAATTACAACCAATGCAGCTTTGCGTCTATCAAAGGGATCGCCATCCAGCTCCTCAGAAGCAGGTAATCACGCTCAGGCTCTGGAGTAAGCAAAAAGAAACATCCAAACTGCAAACCCAACAAAACCCCTAAACCCTAAACCCAAAGCCCTATAAGTCCTAGACCCTAAATCCTAAACCTCAAGGAACAAGCTTCGGCTCCACAGTGGACTTCAAGCCCAAGCCATCACCAAAAACAAACCCTAAACCCTAAACCCTATACAACCCTATAGCCTAAGGATCAACGATAGAAGCTCCGTGAAAAGCTGTGAAACACCCAGCAGAGGTCACAGACTATCTACTTCTTTCTAATGAAGGCTTCTAGCCAGAAACACACCAATGTCCCAACTTTGCCGGCTTCTACGGGTCTTTAGCGTAGGGCTCAAGAGTCTAAGTTTTTCGGGTTTTTGGCTAGGACTTGGCTTAGAGGGTTTAGAAGTTTAGGGTTTAGAGTTGAGGGTATCAGGGTTGGAATGCCCTAGGGTTTAGGTTTTGGGGCTTATAAGGGCTGAAGGGTGTCAGGTTCAACATGTTGGGCTGAGGATCCAAAATCGTGCCATGCCATGCAAGGCATTGTTTAAAGGAAACTACAGGTGGGTAGTTTAGGGTATATAGGGATTCTAGAAGGCTTCTAAAAGGTACATAGGCCTTCTATAAGGCTCCTATAACGGTAACAACCCACCTGAAAATGTCCTAGACATTGTGTTCAAATCCCAGAAGTGAGCTCCTTTGCAACAGGGCCATGCGAGCAACCTCGCAATTTTCACTCACCAAGGTTTCTGGGATGCTCAGGAATATGAACGTAAGGCCTAAAGAATGAGATAACATATGTAAACCCGACTTTAGGTAGTAGGATAACAACCCAGAGATCGATCCGGAAGGGACCGGCAAGTTGATCATAACCACCTTTGCATTACCCATTCCAAGTTAGGGTTTAGGGTTTAGGGTTTAGGGTTTAGGGTTTAGTGTTTAGGGAGCCTAGACTATGCTCGTCCAAGCCGAGAGTGTACACTCCGATAGGGACCTCAACAATCAGAACAGGTTTTGGGGTGATTCTTCCTACTTTAAGGACTGCCACTACCACTACTACGACGACCACTACTACCACTACTCCCACTACTACCACTACTACCACCAC